ATCATAATCAGCCTCTCATTTATGTCACATAATAGAATGTTCACTTTGTCTGGTTTTGTTGCAGTCTGCCCCATATATGCTATAGAGCAATAAAGATTTGAGAAAAGAATATATATTGGCGTAATAACGACTGCTAATCTGAGGATGTAAACAGATTGGGGAGTTTGAACTTTAACTCACAATGGCAAAGAACCTCGATTGTAAGAGTGCGGTGTCATGTTGAATGGAGCTAGTTCCTTAAACATACGCTTTTCATTGCATAAGTTTGTTTTATTACTAGTCAACGTTGACATGCAGTCGTTCGAACAATCTAAAAGTAAAACTTTGAGCATATTAATATTTAACTTAACGTGTTGTGTGGGAAAATCTGTTGATATATTGATCGATTTGGCGGTGAAATCATATCTACGATATTATAATCGCTATAACCGTATAAAGGTCAATGTAAATTTATTATCCCTAAAGGAATTTGTTTGAACATACAATGCAATATCTTTTATGTTCTTATATTTGTCAGTAATTCACCATCTTTAACGCATTTAATTAAAACGCTTACATCAACCCAACGTGTTCCTATACGGATTTGATGAGTTGTTAATAATAAAGTTAACGCTGAGCGTAATTTTCGATAAACGTCCAAGCTTTAGAAAACCGATTTATCGATTAGTTAAAAATGCAATTCAAAGTCACCTCCAAAATATCATTTCTCAAATTAGTTAACTTTTAATCTCACATAATAGAAGTCTGGTTTTGTTGCAGCATGCCCCATATAAAACTGGTTTACACAATTTTTCGAATTTGAAGGCAAGTATGCGCCACCGCCACGCATGGCTTTGCCAAAGCGGCATGTGATTTATTATGTTTTATACCGTGTTTCCATACCCCTTCCCATTCCGGGCCCAGCAAGAAGATAGCGAACAGTATCGCCTTTTTTTTAATGTAATTTCATCTTTTCCAACTGGTCTGCTCTTATTAATTTTGGATCGGAAGACATCGTTTCAATAGCATATTGGATCTTGAATAGAATCTTCGAGAGTGTTTGATTACCCATGCAAGTCCTCTATGAGGGTATGGACCAATCACTTGGGTTGTGACATTATGCGCTTGCATCAATCGAGAGATTTCGCCCATAAATTCATGACCTCCATCGCATTGTAAAGATTCGGCCATGTTAATGGATTATTTCGATCACTATATACTTTCCTAAATGCTTTAGAACTTTGAAGCCTTGTATCTGGAGGCGCAGTCTATTATATTAAGACTGCTTTATATTTTTACATCTGTAATGATCATGAGTAAGAATCAGTATATCGCACTGGTGTACACAATTGGGCTTGTTATTCGTCCATAGCTAATTATAGGAATGTATTTTGGGGAAGTTTATTGATTTGGTGTGCGTCCTGATTTTCTAAAAAAATCTTTGCATTCACTTAAGCGGAATCGATGCCCCTCTTTTTTACATGCAGCTCTTAAGGATTTAGGATTAGACTAATATCCAGTCGGGTGATAATACATATCACGCAATATGATCCCCCCCCCCCCGATTTTCTGAGCCTCATTGGGATCTATCACAACTTGCGAAGAATATAAAGCCGAGTTAGAGGAGGATAACTATTCATCTTCGAGTAACGCTGCATATCAGAAGTTGATATTAACCGCCTGAATGAAAAGCGGATTAACCAACTAGAGCAGCAAATGCAAAATCTTAATAGCAAAGTAGACCGGTTTGAGAAGAGAAGATAGAGTTGAAATCCGAAATTCCCAATCTAAAAAAACAGTTATATCAGGCTAGAAAGATGTGCGAGATAAGGAAAATATATCTCTTCCTTAGAAAAATGTTAATAGAGTCTGAAGAGCAGGTTGAAAATTTTTCGACGCCGGATCAAAAGACATCTCATCACGAAAACAAATTTGTATAATCCTAATACTGAATCGGAGATGGCCACTATTACAGAACTAGCAAATGCTATAGATGGTTATTTGGATAATACAAGAACAAGTAGAGAAATCTTGCAGTTCAAAGGGCAATAAGCAAATTCGTCGAAAACAAAATAATTTTGCAACAGAGGCGTTGTGATGCTGAGGCAGAGAGGGATAATGAATAATACGAAGGAATCTTGCACAAAGGAGCAATGGGCAGAGTTGATGGTATAGTGACCTTTATAATTGCGAACTATTAGTTGAATAAATGATAGGTAATATAGCGGAAAACAAACTCGCCTTGGTGAATTATTTTGCTTTACGGTTATTATTCAGAATTGATGAACTGCTCACAGCCGTCCAATGTGGCGGTCAGATACGGAATAATCCTGATCAATACTCCAACACCAGAATTACCTTCTGAAGCTGCTGGCGCTACAGTTATCCCGGCACGTGATGTTCACACAGATAATTATTGGTAGGGTGTCCTGTAGATATGAAACGCTAAGGAATGAGAATGATATTGCGACTGACTTCGGCGAATTACTTTTCGAATGTACTAACCTTGATCCTTACCTCGTGTAGCGTTATTGTGTCACTTTACGACATCTCATCATAACGGCTCAATCCATACTACACATGAAAGATCTACTGCCCAATTTTGCTTGTGGGTTTGAACTTCTTTTCAAAGTGATAAACTCTGTTTGGTATCTTTATTGTCAAAAATATCAAATTAGGTATCTCGTTCAATGTTGTACGGTGATTGTAGTCATAGATCTACGCAATAATAATAAGCTTTCCTCAATTGTGTGTGACAACTGTTAGCAAATCAAAGTCATTCTGTGTGGCAGTGTTGCGGCTAACCAAATCAGATAATCTGAACAACTGACAAAAGTGAAAATATTTATAGAAATGCCAAGGCACTTCTGTTGTGTCATGCATGCCTGATAACAGGATCCCAAAAAAAGATATTGGTTGCGCAGAATGTCCTGTGTCTGCGACATGTTTGCCTTTCCGATGTAGTTCAATAGATATTCGCAGAATTTAATGAAATGCTCGCTTAATTGCGAAGTCTGGTTTTTAACTCCTCCCTTGTTTACTCCCTAAATTTACTCCGTAATACGCCCTTTTTTTTTGTGCTTATAATATTTGTCACCTGTCGAGATATCCCTTATCATACTTCACCCAAACTATTATTAACCCCGCCTTTTTCGAATCCCGCCTTCTCTTCAAGCTCATGCGTGACCAGCTTAATATTGATGTTTAAACCAACTGTCGTCACTTACTAACTGAATAATATATATATTCTTTTATATATATATAATTATACTTGATAGTTCAAGGACACTTTGAACACACAACTGTAGTCTAGTGTTAACTCGTCAAACCTTGTAAACAATGTCTTCACATACCGGCGATAATATTGATCAAAATGAATTACCAGAACAGAGCGAGCAGTCGCTACCCGACACAAACCAGCAATCACTAATAATCAACACATCTGTAGATAGCCAAACTTGTCAACTAGAAGAAATTAGCCCCATAAGGAGACGTCCCTCCTTACGACATTCTGTAATTAATGAATCACAAATTCAGGAGAACGATATACTTCACATACAGGAGACAAACACGTCATCGCAAAACCAAAAACAACAAAAGCAAGGTACTGTCGACTTCGTCCATGATCATAACGTCAAACGATCAACTTCCCTCTCTCGGAGATTTAGCATGTCATTAAACAGACGGAAGGATAGCATCCGACACGCAGCAAAGCAACTCAGTGTTCTCATAACGGGCAATGCAGAGAAAAGTGATGGTAGACATTTAATAATAAGCCCGGATCGTAAGGGACCACTGATAGATCCACACACGAATAAACCATATATCAAGAATTCGATAACAACGTCTAGATACACTATCTGGAACTTTCTTCCAAACCAACTTTATGCCCAGTTTTCGAAAGTAGCCAATCTTTATTTCTTGTTCGTTGCAGCTCTACAAATGGTTCCCGGATGGTCGCCAACAGGTCAATACACCACAATTATACCATTGACTGTGTTCATGTCCATTGCCATGCTTCATGAGGGTTTTGATGACTTGCGTCGGCACAAGCAGGATGCTGTCGAAAATAACAAAATTTGCTCAGTCTTACGCACCTACAAGTCTAACGATGCATCGGGTCAACTGATTGGTGTTTGGACAAAAAAGAAATGGAAAGATTTGATGGTTGGCGATTTCGTCTCTGTTAAAGCACAAGAATGGATACCAGCAGATTTGCTATTATTGCATTCGAAAGGGGAAGAGGGTATATGTTATGTTGAAACTGCCGCATTGGATGGTGAGACCAATTTAAAACAAAGACAAGCTCTTGACATCACCAACAACATGTTAACGTCACCTGAAGCATTGGTTGATTTTTCGGGTGAGTAGTAATATAAGAGATCTTTTGTGTACTAAACTGCACGTTGCCGCCTGCGGTCAATAACAGTATGTCTGATTTTGCAGCAACGATAAATACGGAAAATCCAAATCAGGATTTGTACAACTTTGACGGATCAATTGAGTTGAACGGTGAAAAGACTCCTTTGACTACAAACCAAGTCCTGCTCCGTGGTACCATACTACGTAACACAGCCGAAGTATACGGTCTCGTGATCTTCACCGGAGAGGAGACAAAAGTCAGGATGAATGCATCGAAAAACATACGTACTAAAGCACCGGCTATTCAGAGATTGATGAACAGAGTAGTCATTCTTATATTTATTTTTGTCCTGTTACTATCAGCAGCATTTACAACCATGGCATTCGTATGGGATAAACATGTGCGCCCGGAGGCTCCTTATTTGCCGCCAAGTCGACCATTCACCACATCCCTCTTTGGCTTTATCATTCTCTTTAATACTATGATTCCAATATCATTATATGTTACTATGGAAATAGTTAAATTGGCACAGGCTTATTTCATCAATAATGATTTGGAAATGTACCACGAAGAATCAGACACTCCAGCTGAGGCTCGTACTTCAACTATTAACGAAGATTTAGGACAAGTTAAATATATATTCTCTGACAAGACGGGTACTCTTACCGATAATATTATGCTGTTCCGAAAGATTAGTGTAGGAGGCAGAGCATTTATTCATGATTTGGATATCAGGAGAATAGAAGAAGAAGACTTGCTCAAGTTGATGTCACCACAGCAAAAAAAGAAACGCCATAGATTCTCTCTGGCGTCAGCTCATCACAAAAGTCATTCTCATGAAAGGAGTCAATCGGGAGATAATGGGGATGAAATTACTCCGGAAAAGGGACATAAGCGAAGTGATTCGGTTCGCAGTAACAACTTCTCCATGATTGCACCTACATCTACTCCACGTTCTCCCATATATCGGCATAATTCTTTATCAGGAGAGTCTGTAAAAGCAAAGAAGCGCGCTAGTCAGAGTATCAGGTCTACGCTCGATCTACTTACTATTATTCAGCATCAAGGTCATACGCCATTTGGCGAGCGTGCAAAATTCTTCTTATTAGCGATAGCTTTGTGTCATACTTGTGTACCCGAGTTTGACGAGGATACTGGCGATCTATTTTATCAAGCGGCCTCCCCTGATGAATATGCACTGGTTACTGCGGCTAAGGAATTGGGATACATAGTAATGGATAGATCCATGGGTTCCGTGTCTTTACGGATAAATAACGATGGACTGGTCGGACCAATAGATGCAGACGCTAACAGAAATTTTGTCTACGAGACATATACTATTTTAAACGTTATCGAGTTCTCTAGTAAACGGAAGAGAATGTCAATTATATATAGAATGCCAGATGGAAGAATATGTATTTTGTGCAAAGGAGCCGATTCAGTCATATTCGAGCGTCTACGAAATCCAAAGAAGAGCAGACGTTCGTATTATGATAGAAAAGAAAAATTTACGTATAGCAGTGAAGATAAATTCAGCTCAAGTGATCTCTTTTCAAAAGGTAAACTCAAGATAGATACTACAGTTGGTTCGAGTACGTCTTGCAGCAAAGTATCATCTTCACCTATCACACCGTCATCCATCTCGACTATCGTACTAGAGCGCAAACACAGCATCAAGACTATCGACTCGGATGATTCGAGCCGATCTGGTATACTCGATTTATTTCCCATGTACGATGACACTTGGCTATATAGTCAGACAATGTTTCACATACAAGATTTTGCCACCGAAGGCTTACGTACTCTACTCTATGGGCATCGGTACATAACAGAGGCTGAATATTCAGGCTGGAATAAATTATATCAAGAAGCATCTACTTCTCTGGCAGACAGACAACAGAAGCTTGAGGAAGTAGCAGACGTAATTGAGCGCGATTTTGAGATGACAGGAGCCACTGCTATTGAGGATAAATTGCAGTTTGGGGTACCCGAGACTATTGACAAACTGCGTAGAGCCGGCATAAGGATATGGATGTTAACTGGTGATAAGAGAGAGACTGCGATTAATATCGGACATTCATGCTCACTGATAAAAGACTATTCGACCGTGATTATCATAAATGCAGACTGCGACCTTCATAAACTACTCACGAAAGCAATGAAAGACGTTAACAAAGGCAAAGCAACACATCCTGTAGTGGTAGTAGATGGGACAACATTGATGGAGATAGAACAGAGTGAGAGTTTAATGGAAATCTTTGTCGACTTGGGTATTCTTTGTGAAGCGGTAATCTGCTGTAGAGTCAGTCCTTGTCAGAAAGCACTTGTAGTTCGCTCGGTTCGCGAGAAATTGCAGCATACTGTTACGCTAGCTATCGGTGACGGAGCCAATGATATTGCCATGATTCAGGAAGCACATGTAGGAATTGGTATCACTGGAAGGGAGGGTCTTCAAGCAGCGAGGTCTAGTGATTATTCAATTGCGCAGTTCCGTTTCCTGTGTCATTTATTGTTTGTTCATGGAAGATGGTCATACGTAAGAGTATCAAAATTTGTGCTTGGTACATTCTACAAGTGCATGTGTTTTTATCTCACTCAGGGATTATTCCAATTTTTCACGGGATTTTCGGGAACTAGTTTGTACGAGCAGTGGACTCTATCCTTCTATAATACGCTGTTCTCATCGCTTCCTGTGATAGTTATTGGAATGTTTGAGAAAGACCTTAAGAGAAAGACACTTTTAGGAGTTCCTGAACTATACAAAATGGGACAACGCAATGGTGCTTTTAATTTGAAAATCTTCTTTTCATGGATGGCGGCGGCTATATTCCAGGCATTTGTCGTTCTTACTATTCCCTTCTTACTTCACGGATATTATGTGGGATACGAGATTAGAGCAATTGGATCTCCACAGTTGTTTGAACTTGGCGTGACAGTGTATACTACTATCGTAATACTAGTTACGTTTAAGATTGCTTATTTAGAGTGTCATAATTGGACTATTGTCACTCATGTGACTTCGATGCTGACATTGTTTGGGTGGTTCTTGTACCAGACAGTATATTCATTCATATATCCGGTGGCTCCGACAACGGCTGCATATGATGTCAGGGGCGTTTTTGAGAAAGCAGGAACCAAGCCCGAGTTCTGGGTGACTACTATCCTCACGTTTAGCATAGCTATGATTCCCAATTACCTAGTTAAAGTAATCAAAGCAGTCACTCTTCCGACCGACGTTGATATATATCAAGGCTATGAAAAGGATAAGGAACTAATGAAGAAGATTATAGGAGAGGATGATGATGAGGATGGTGAGAACAATGTGAGAAAGGACAAACAAGTTTCACAAAAGGATCAGAACAATGCAGAGTCATTTATCGAAGTTGGGCTCGAGTTGGACAATACATCGCGCACTGCTCCAAGGCCATCGAATTTGAGCGAAGGAAATAGTGTACCCGAAACGTATCGTATGGAGCTGTTTGTTCCTCGTTTGAGTACCATTCCCCCCACACCACGAGCGATTCCTGATAATGAGGAGTCGGTATTCCAACTGACGCGCTCATCGACTTCGCCGTCACTTTTCAGTGAGTCCAGGTCCAGTAGAGTGGAATTAGAATTACCGCGCAG